CATTGACATAGTACATATATAAAAAGAGTTGGTTATTTTCTGTTCATTTTTACTGACTTGATCTGAAAAGAAATCCAGTATTGCTCAATGAAATCTTAATACAGACAAATGACTTTATGATAAACTCCTTATTTATCTTTACTATTAAAACAGCAATGGCATATTGGTGTACTTATGAATGTCAGGTTGAATTATTATATGCATTACTGGCTACTCTCTCAATGAATGTGGAATGTTTCCTTATAAGGTAATGGTTAATATTACTATTATAATTGCTATTTGGACCACCATGCTCATGTTGGTTGTTCTACCCTCCAGACTTCTTCAAGTGTTTGTCTTTATACTTGGTAACTTTCTTGGAATTTTGAACTGAACCCTTAACACAATCCATGATTGTTCTCGTACTGCTTTCAAAACTTAGATATTGCACAGTATTTAGTAATACACATCAGTCTTATTTGCCTTTGTTTTGCTTGTTTGTTCCTTCCACTGAGAATGCTACTTTTCATCACTATCAGACTCAGAGATTAAACCAACACCTGATCTGTTTTAATCAACACTTTAATCCACTGGGCAATGTGTCTCTATTATTGCAATTTGCAACTCTGAAATCTTGTCATGCTATGTGTTGAATGAGTATCTTAAGGTGAAGAATTGGTAAAACTCTGTTCAGCAAACATGGAAGGAGTGCAGACTGGATGATAGTTTGTTATTGACTTTTGATTAGGTGTTCATATCAACCAGGCTATGAAAGAATGTTACCAATAATCAAAGTGCATCAGTTACCAATAGTTTATCATGTTCATTTCAGCACACAAAATGAATGAATCATAAAGTTAAAGTGTCTAACAATCAAAATAACTCTTCTTTTTATTTATTTCTTTCCTGTATTTATGTCTAATCTTTTCCCCAATCCATGCCTATCCTTAAGGTGGTATATTTTCTCTTTTTTTAAATTACTTGAAACAATACATGGAAATTCTTGCTCATTTAGTTTGTTCATTCAGAAGAGAATTGTGTTAGTATAACCTATATATTGAAAATCATTTTCTCTTTGATTATGATTTTTGAGTGTATTTGTATGTATACACTGATGGGACAAAACATTATGGCCAGTGATATGTGACTTTTAATTTTGATGTGTTGAATGCTGCAGTTATAGGCAAGAAGAAAGATTTGAATGTCTTGGGTAAAGGCTAAATTGTTATGTCTAAAAGACAGTCAAAGCATTTCCAAGACAGAACAGCTTGTGAGATGCTCACATTTTGTTCTAGTGGCAGGGATCCAAGGAGGGAAAATCCCAAAACACTCATAAGGCATTAAGTGGTAAAAACCTATTGATATAAAAAATGATAGGCAATAGAAGGGCTCCTGTCATACAAGCTGCAGGTAGTTTTCAATAAAGGTGAAGGAAGGAATTTCTCACAAAACACAGTACTTAGATTCATATTGCACATGGTGCTGTGTAGCTGCAAGCTAGTTAGAATACCAATGTCAAAAGTATTTTCAATTTCTATTAAAGTGTCAGAAGTGGATCAAAAAAGTTGCCTGCTTTGATGTGCCTCACTTTGAATTAAGGTTGTTGGATACATTTTTTTCCATTATCATATTTTCTCATATACCATTATTGAAAATTAGGTACATTCCTTCATGGAAACAGTTTTTTGATTTTTTTTTTTAATTATTTTTATTTTTATAATGGTAGGGGTATCTTTCAACAAGACAATAGTTTTATGAAATGATGAAATATATTTCACTGTGTTGGCCTGCCTAACAAACTCCTCAGATCACACTCCCATTGAGCACTCATAGAATGTGATGGACCAACAAGTTTACTTTATAGAACCTCCACCATGTAATTTGCAACAATTAAAGGAGTTACTATGAATATCCAGTCATTAGATCCCAAAGGAAATCTTTAAAGGTTTTGTAGAATCTATGTTTTGATCAGGTATATGAGAGACTACCACCTTATTAGGCAAGTTGTCATAATTCTTTTGCTTTGCTCATCACTATGTAAATGAGCACTTTACTGTTGCACAGAAAGGTAAGAAAGCAATGTTGATTTTTATCAAGTCCTTGGGAAATGTAATTTCATGCCACACTCTAACAAATACCCTGAACAATTCTAATTATAAAGCAAAGGTGTGATTGTTAATGTTTGACTGACTCATTATTGACTGGTCATTTGGAGTATCATCAAAAGCTAGACCAAGAAAATGAGAATTCATTTTATCTACATATGACAAGGCTTGCTTATTTTTAATGAATCTGATGTCTGTTTGATATTGTCACTATTCAAGTCAGGATTTCAAATGATGATTTTCAAGTCGGGTAGACTCCCCCAAGTTGGATGATTAGCTAAACTCAATCTTTGTAGCCCTTTCTGTGTGCAGTTATGATTTTTTTGCACACTCATATAATTTTTTGAGGGTAAAAAAAAAAAAAACAATCAATTTTATTGTTTTTCAATTGTGTATGATATTATTGTCCCTATTTTATTGTAAAGATAAACAAATGTGATTCTAACAGAATATTCTTGTTAGTTAATGTTAGGAAAATCCTTTTATGTATGATTTTGACTTTGTGTTTCTCTAATGATGGTGTCATTGGGTACAAATAAGTCAATTTTTTTATTTATTTTTCTTCTCTATTTTTTGTTCATGTTCCATTCACTCAAGTGACAGCAACTGCACTCAGAATTTTTCCTGAGTGAGTGCATATTGCAAACACACTTTTTCACACTTTACACTTACTACAACTACTATTAGACTGCTTACTAAGTGTCGTACTCTACTAAGCTCTACTATGGCTACTGTAACACATTCTATTTTTTGCCATTCATTATATTGCAAATGCACTTGTTTAAAATTTGACTACATAATTGATATTGAGAGTGAATTTACAACCATAAACTATATTAGTCTGTATGTTTGACTGTAAATACTAGTCTGTATGTTTGATTGTAAACACTGCTTATTTGAAACCTTTAAAAAGATTAAAACAAGTTATTTTTAGTTGTAAATGTTATTTTATACAAGGGTTTTCTCATTTTTATTCAAACAATTTTTCAAAGTAATTTTCCACTATTTCTCGAATTCTTTACTGACTTCTTTCATTTGTTCTCAGTGTTGTCAACTTTTAAATGAAATTGTAACATTTAAACAGGCACAAATTAACAAACAAAACAAAACAAAAAGTACTATCTATGTTATTCATTGAGTACACTATTTTTTCACACTTGTAGGCTGGGCTTGAGTAGCCAAAAAGAGGACTGAAGGTCAAGAAAGTCTCCCTTTATTCTAATTACTATTCTTGTTTACATTGCACAAATAGGGACTATTATTTCAAAACTCATGAATACACCTTTTCCCTTCAGTTTGGGACATTAACATCTTGAAGTAGTATTTAAGTACTGAGACTGAAGAATGTCTACTGATAGGAGGAGAAGGAAGAGTGGTTAACGATGATACCAAGTACTAGATTAGTTAAACCCTTTTTTATTTTTTAATGCTATATCCCTTCAGGGTGTAAGTAATTATAGTTTTCCACAGATTCCTTTTCTTTTAATATTTCTAAATTGCCATAACTACTTGTGGAAAGATAGTGGTTTCTTGTTTCCTTCTCTACAGTTTGAATTCACAGTAGTCCTTCTAAATTGGCTTCCACCTAAGACTAGAGAGCCCAGTCTACCCTGCTATTTAACTCATAATTGGAGCCAGGATGAAGAGTTAGATTAATGCCTTTTGCAAAGGCATTAGTCTGAAGAATGCAGTAGACAAGATCAAAATTTGAACTCAGCTTGCTGATTCCACTTTCAGTAACAATAACTGTTAGTGTTATACTACCTTTATGTCTGCTAAGCATATTATCATAAACTAATCTTGAGAAAGGAAAACTGTTTTAGATTTTAAAATCGGGTCAGTCCTGCTCTTGTAAAAATACTACATGGATATTACAACCATCATAATCACATAGAACAGGAGTCTGGAAGAAAACCAAAACCCCACCTCTTCCTTAAAGAAAAAGGTTAAAACTTTTTGGCTTAGGCTTTAACCTTTTCTGACCTGTGCTTACTAACACAATTTATTGCACCAAGTGTAAGTGAAAGAAGGCAAAGTGACCCCCTTTCCCCCCTCTCTCTCTCTTTTTTTTTTTTTGCAGAGGTCAGTCTTATAATTTAACTTTGAGACACTTAGGTGGAATTATCAACTTAGAAGGAAAACTGATTTTAAACTGTGGCAAAGGCCAGACAAAGAATTTTTTTTTTTTTTACCAAATCGTAACAGTAACCCAGAAACTATTTAAAAAAAAAAAAAAAAAAAAAAAAAGAAAAAATCTGGAAATTTCATCCCTCTTTGACACTTAATAATTTTAATCAATTAAGCAGACAAAAAGCTGGTAGTTGGTACATTTGAGATGTTATGAAGTGCATTGCATTGAGTGCATGTCATAGCACATTATTGTCTAAGAAAAGAAAAAAAATCAAAGATGATTATTTTTGATTTTGTTGAGCTAGAACCTCTGAGCTTGTAGCTAGACACTTTCTCTTGGCAAAGCATGTTATATCCTAAGCCTGACTGCAATAGAACAACACACATCAGCACAATGGAGCAGCTGCTAAACTAATGGTGGTAACCCATAAATACACACGCATATACACACACACAGAATAACTGCTACTGCTGTTTGGTGAGTGTGAACTTGTTTGTGTATTTGAGTGTGAGCTGCTGCTGCTGCTGAGTAAATGAGTGAATCACTAAGAAAGAAGTGGAAGGAAAACTAGTACACAGTGAGTGTCGTATTAACGACAACGCACACACACAAAAAAACAGACGAGACTTACTTTTCTAACTGGCAGTGGATTTGTTTTTCTTTTTGGTAATGACTGCTTTTGTGGCTTGTTGGTTGACGGTCTTACTTTCCGACCGACAAGTTTTTATTTAATTTTACCTGACGGTAACAACAACAAATCCATTGTTTGTACTCTTTGACTGACTATGCCTGGAACCCCTGGAGTTGATGGGGTTGGTTTGGGCCAAGGGGACAACGTCACTGCTAACCCGAAAATGGTCCTAGAAGGAGCCATGTGTAAGTCTTTTTTATTTTTCGTTTTTATTTGTTTATATATCTCTATATTCCTATTTTCATCATCATCATCATCATCATCATCATCATCTTTCATTACTTTTCCGCTCTCCCATTTTCTTTCTTATTCCTTCGTATTTTCCTTTTTCTCTCCACCCTGTTAAATACACTACCTTTACTTTTTCATCTATCCATTAGTTCACGTCTCTCCATTCCCTTTATCAGCTGAATCCTAATTTCAGGGATTTTTTTTCGACAATTTTTGTTTAGTGATTATTTGTCTTCTTGTCCGTGTCATTTTTTTTTTCTATTTTTTTTTTCCGCAAATATTTTTTGTCTTTTTTATGTCGTTTCTGATTAGGGACCCTCACCCGAGTGCTCACAAAATAATTTATGGTTTTATTATTTTAATTAAAAAAAAAAATCATACCTGCAATAAAAACCATTTATTTCTGTACCATATCCACAAAAAAATTACACCCCCCCAAATGGTGAATCAAAAAGTCGGGCACTGACTATATGTCACCATGTGTTGCACTTAAAGTAGTAGTTTCAAGTTGTAACCAGCTGTATGATGTAAGTAACTGTAAAGATTGTAAATAAATACTGAAACCATTCAAGTAGAAACAATTTCCCAAAAAAAATTACGTCATAAAGTTTCCGGAACAAATGGTAAAGAAGAAAATTTAAATCTTTTAATTTTTAAATAATAAAAAAGTCAATTAATTAAACGATTAGCTTTTAAGGATATAAAACTACTTCATTTACATTACAATTATTAAATTGATGTTTGTTAATTTTTATAGCTGACGGAATCTTTTGACAAGTCTATGACAATATTGTGTGTGACGTCTTGTTTGTAAAACTTTCCTCAGCTGTCTTCATTTCATGTAATTTTCGAAATCAGGAAAAAATATTGAAAGCAAAACAAAGAAAAAAAAAACGAAAATCTGTTATATTCTCAGAATCTTTCTTGTTTAGTAACACAATAATTCTGCATAATTAAAAAAAATCAAACATAAAAAAGGTGCTCATGACATGGGACGTAAAAAACACTTAATTTATTTCATAGGAATGGATGGGGGAAAAAAGAGTTGTCAAAGATTGAAGAAGACGAGAGATATGTTTGTGTAGGGTGGGGGGGGGTGATTGTGTGCCGGGGATTTTCAGTTGAGTTTGTTGAAATTTTCATTTTAAGAACAGGACATTTTTCATCGCTTATAAAAATAAAATCATTGTTTCTCAACTGTTGGAACAATAGTTTTATTTTCACATTTTCCCACTCGTGTAGTAAAAATATTCAAGAAATTTGTTTGTAATTAATTATTCATTCAATGTGTGTGAAAAAGTTCACTCAATGTGGACTTTTTAGTACTTATTTTATGTTTTAAAAATGTTTTTGCGTATTAGATATCATTTCAATTGACAAGCAATGGGTATCATCAACATCTTTATTTTCTTTATCGATAGGTAATTAATATGTTGTAATTTTTTTTATCTTAATAAAAATGTCTTTTGTGTTGATTGATAGTCACTTCAGATAGGGTTACTGTTTTTGCAGCATTAGCATACATCCAATTTTTACACTTGTTCACTGTATCGACGTAAATAAATACAAAAAAATTCAAAAAGTATAATTTCATTTTCTATGCAAAAAACAAAAAAAATGATGTACATGTTTTTTGCGTTGTGTGCATTGAAGTTAAAAAGTATGGATAACAATAATTTTTAAATCAATGAATGAAATGAAAAGATTTTCATCATCACATAGAAGCAGTAGTAACCTGTAGTAAACAAAATATTTTTAAACGTTTTTTGTTTGTTTTTTTTTTTTTTTTTTTTTTTTTTAAGAAATACATTTGTTTTGATGATTTTTGTTACTTGTACCACTGTAAAAAGATAAAATTGTTTTAAAAGTTACTCTGAGAAACATCACTTTGTGTTCCCTTTGTTTTCAGTTGTTGAAAATTTAGGTTACAGCATTTTTAAACTAATGTACTTTTTTGTTTGTAGAAAGAGAGAGAGTCTCTTTACGGGAGCTCATTTGTTTTTTTGCCTTTTCTTTTATGCGTTATTTTGCCAATTTTTCCTTTAAAAATCACTATTCAATTTATGATGGAGTAAATTATTGTACCTTGTTTGTCTATAATGTTTCGTTTAATTAATTTAATAATGTATTTTAAATAATGTCAGTACTAAAGAGTGTATAAGCCTACTGTCAGTATGTTTTAAACTTGAAAGCTGCTCAAATTAGTAAAAAAAAAAAGAAGAAACTTTGTGTTTATAAATGCGATAGTGTGTATGTGACCTGATGATGACACCTGTTTTTACACCTTTCCCACCTGTCTACTTCTGAAGGAAAAGAAAGAAAGGGAAAAAAATGAAGAAAGAAAAATGAACTAAAAGATAGTGACGGCAAAAACAGGCTAAACCAGGGACTTTCTTCATTTTTTTCCCTTTCTTTCTTTTCCTTTCTTTCTTTTCCTTCCTTTCTTTTCCTTTCTTTCTTTTCCTTCCTTTCTTTTCCTTTCCTTTCTTTTCCTTTCCTTTCTTTTCCTTTCCTTTCCTTTCTTTTCCTTTCCTTTCTCTTCTTTTCTTCTTCTGTTTTTTTTTCCTTTTCATTCTTTTTGTGACATCAGTGTCGCTGATCGCACGCACACATTTCGGTTAAAAAACTGAATGTCACGCCTCTTTTTCTTTTTTTTCTACCCATTTGACGGCATCTACCCAGTCATACCGGAACGTTTTTTAATGAGACAGAAATAAACAAACAAGTCACAAGTGTATCAAATGTTTATTTATTTTATTATTTACTTAAAAAAACGAGTAGATAATAAAATAAAAATCAGTAACTTAAGACATTTTCCTTGATTTGTTTCTTCTTCTCTTCTTACTTTTGTTTTTAACTTTTTTCTTTCCTTCAATTTTTTACCCCCCCTTTTTTTTTGCTTTCTCGCCCTTGTAAGTTTGTTCATATTAAAAATAAAATGCATCCTTCTTAAGCCCGATGTTTTTTTTTTTTAATTTCAGTTCATTTTTTTTTTTATTTACATACACACAGATTATTTTTATTTTATTTATTCCGACGCACCGAGAACAATTTTTTATTTCTTTCATTCAACCAACCGCCGAAGGTTCACATAAACCTTTTAAGCATGATGACGCACAACGGACAATATGACAGTGACATCCTCTGGCTATCTAGTATACACACACAAGCTAGAGAGAGTTTAATTATTTTTTGTACACACGTACATAAATTGTGATGAAAGTACACATTTTCGTAAATACATGAATCCCTACTACGAATAGTAAAACAAAAATTAAAATATTATGTGTATGTGTTCACACTCACCTCACGAGTCACACACACAACAACATCAACACTAGTTGTTTATAAAAAAAATTCTAAAAACATAGGTTCGCCGATCAGTGTACCTAGAAAACCCTTATTCTCTCTTTTTTTTTTGACACAGTTGTTTCTCTCTCTAATATTCCTGGTGAACTGACTCTCCCGCTTTAAAAGTACTTGACACACCTTACAAGAAATTCCAACGGAACTTAATATTTTTCCCTGTGTGTTTTGCTGCTTTGTGTATCCTGTGAATGCTTTTTTTGTGTTCCGATGTGACATTATTTTTTTTTTAATATTTTACTTTTTAAAACAATTTTTTATTATCTGGATCCAGTTGAATTTTTCATAACAATTTGGTAATGATATTGTTAAACTTTTTTTTTTTTTAATAAAAAGGGAGATATATCTTTGTTTTTCTGTTTTCGTAAAAAAAAGTCAATCCTTTTTAGTTTTTGAATATTATACATTTTTTCTCTCAATCATTTGCTAGTAGTAACAATTTATTTTTCTTTGCCTCACAGTCACTCATTTTAATAATTTTTTTACTGACCCTGCTGGCTGTGGAGGAGGGAAATGCGATTAGGCAGTGTTGTTCACAAGTCGAGTAGCAATGATAAATTCTTAAGAATAAAAAAGAAAGATTAATATTGACTCAGAAAGAAAATGAAATTTGGCATCACATGATCCATACTGTGCTAGATATCGTACGAACAGAATGGCACCAGTGGGTCCGAAATGTGTAAACGAAAAACTATTCCAAGGGAGGTTTAAAATTGTAAAGTTAAGCCAAAGGATAAAAAAAATGAAACGGCTTACTGTCCTGTAAAGAAACCTGATGTTTGTTTTTACATTCATTGTCTCATGGCTTTCGTTTAAGTTTAGTTGTGTAGTCTCTTTTTCTGTTTATCATGACCAAGTTGTTCTCGTTAAAGTAATTTTTATTATTACGACTTTTACCTACTGCTAGAGTAATCCTCATATCGTTTTATTTGTTTATTTTTTTCCTTAAGAAAAAAGAAGCTGATCCACCAAAATTGCACTAATGAAGACGCTATTTTGGACTAGATTTGAAATGTAGCTGTGTAATAGCTCATTTTTACTTTTTCTATTCATGGGCCCCCTTTTGTTTGATTGATGATTTTTTTATGCCCTCCTCCTAACCATAACAAAAGATCATTTTACAATTTCCGGAACAAAAACAGTTATATTCTCCATATAAACTTAAAAAAAAACTGCTTGTTTTAAAAAACAAACCAGTTACTTTCACTTCCAAAAAAAAGTTCTGCACATAGATGCACGCACAAATTTAAAAAGATCTGGAAAATAAAAATAAAAAATAATGCAAAAAAATGAAAAATGTTCTGCATGTAAAATTTGTAAATTTTACCTAAATGCCCACTAGTACCATAAAAAAGACACCTAAAAATTATTTTATTACATAATTTAAGTAAAAGTTTATTAGAACTAAGAGGTCAACAGGGTTGTAGCACTGTGGTCCCTTTCATTGAACTTGTGGTTCCCGGTTAAGAATCACTGCCCAAGACTATTTTATCTACCAATGATCTATCAAGGCTTGTTATCTTTCCCGCTTTTCAAAATATCTGATCAACGAAACTGATCACCAGACAACGCCTTTTTACAAAACGTA